CCCCGACAACCACTACAACGATGGCCCCGACAACCACTGCTACGATGGCCCAGACAAACGCTACTACGAAGGCCCCCACAACCATCACTGCAACAAAGACGACAACGTCGACCACCAGAAGCCCCACCACGACGCACAGTGGAGGCTCGAGAGTCAAAGCCTCTCTGCTGCTCTCTGTGGTGCCTTTGTTGCTCTACAGGTTTTAGCCCTGAGCAGTGAAAACTCATCTTGGTTGAATCTGCAGGTTGAAAGACGAAGGTTATTTATTCGATGTGTGTGATCTTGATGTGGCATCAGGAACAACTTGTTACTGGAAGAGTTATGTCATGACTGAGGCTACTATCATTAATGAAAAAATTACAATATTCAAGTAAAATATTAAAAAGTGACCAAAAAGGCCTAAGACTTAAAGAATTATGTAACAAAAATCACAATATTACAAGAATTTAAAAAAACACATTTACAAGAACAAGGAGAACTCGTGCTCCCTGAAGTTCTCAATCTGGATCCAAAACCTCCAACTGATCTCACTGTTTCTACACAAATGACAGACAATGACAGCCCTGCATTCGACCATGAACAAGTCTGTGACTCTTCCTTCTGAATAGATTCAGTTTCCTGCTCAGTCTTTTCACAGTCCTGATACTTGTAAAAATGTCAAATCACACGTGGCACAAAATTAAGAATTTATTCTTGTAATGTTACAGCACTATTCTGGTAAATTGAACCTTATTCTTGTAATATTAAGACTTTATTCCAGAAATATCATGACGGCAAAAACTGTGAATCACAAAGTATAAAACAAAACTATTGGTCTGCTTGTATTTGTCATTTATTACAATGCATGGAATCAATTCAGATACAGGAGTACAAGAACATGAAGTGTATTTCTGCATTACTATAGAATGATACAATGCAATAAAGAGAGAACAATATGAAAGAATGAAATCTGGTGCAAGTTTAATCTTCAGATCGACAGATGGCGAGCAGAGCCTGTAGGTAATCTCCTTTAAACTGTTTCTGCTGGAAAACAATGAGTCCGACATGTAAATATGTCGATACTTCACATTTTAAAAAGAATTACACGTGTGTGTTGTGTTGACGACAGCGTCATGTGTGTGTCCCACCTGTAGCGCAGTGTAGAGAGAAGTGCCTGTTAATTTAAGGAAGGCGGTTCGGATACAGAGCAGATCCTCCTCAGAGTGAGACACCATGATCCCCTGAACTGTCGACGACTGCAGGAGTGAGAGATGTGTGTGTGTGAACAGATTTATATTTTATCGTCTCTGACACTAAAGGTTTTCCTACATGTATAAAACGTCCAGATTTTTTACGGCTTCATGTCTTCATCTTGTTTAGTGAGCCTTATTTTAAAAATACACATGTATAAAATTTAAGTTACAGCACAAGGAAGTTGATTTGTTGAGTTAATTTATCCATTCATCATTAATAATACTTTTGTGCTTCAGCTGATCCACAGAACTACATTTAAATGTATGATTCTTACCTTCATGGTGGCTATTTTCTTAGCGAGGTAGACATAAGGGCTCTCAGTGCACTCCACTGTCAAGGACATAGAGAAATATCAATGACTGATCAACATGTGCTGCTCACACACCGATCACTGTGCACGCTGTGTCCAACAACACTCACCTAAAACCTTCAAACCCAGTCGCAGGTCTCCAGAGAATCGCTTCTCCACAAGCTCCTCCATCGCCTGTCCGCTCTCCAGCTCCAGTCCCATAAACACTGTGGATAAAATGCAGGTCAGGACAACGAACAGATTCAAACAGCAGATATGAAAGAAAATTCATTCCGCAGCCTCACCCTTGTTAAGATGGTCTGAGTCTCTGGACGTCAGGATGTTGATCCATGGTCCCACATCGGCCTTTTTCCCATTTAGTGATGCGAGCAGAGACTGGGAGAATCAAAACAAGAAAACACGGTCAACTCTCCAGAGGCTGCAGGCAGCGGCTGCACCCGTGTTACACCAGCTCACACATGGACAATGTACCTGGATGTCTCTCTGAACACTACTGGCAACATCTTCTTTCTGTTGAGACACAGGAGCGAAACAAAAACTGAGTCCCAGCTAAATGTAATAAATCATTTGCTATAATAGTTTGAGTGAAGAGGTCAAAACTGAAGATGGGGATGTAAATACTGTTTATTACATTAAGCAAAGCTACAACAAGCTTAGCGAAGTCTCCACTCGTTTCTCCCTTCAGTTCCTTCTCCAGGTCCTTCTTGTAAACTGAGAAAACAAGGCAGATATGAGGATTAAAAGAGATTATGGATCAGAGATCGAAACGTCCACAACAATCAATGAAAAATGCGACGGAAGACAAGGACAGGGATTTACTTTGTTTGTACGCCGCGCTGATTTCTTGAAGCTGCTTTCCAGATCGTGTGCACAGGATCTCCAGTAGTGTCTCCTCATCTGTGCCTAAACCCTGCACACACACACACACACACACGTTTATACACTATATCCTGAGATATGATGGAGAGGTAGGGTAAAAAATCCTACACAAAGCCCCCAAGATATGTACAAACACACACACACACTCACCGCCATGGCCTGTTGCAGGCGGTAAACCTCGTACTCCAGAGGTGACATCAGCAGGTCCAGCAGCAGAGTCTCCACTTCTCCAGACAGAGCTTTCTTCAGAGCGACCTCCAGGTCCTGGACCCACACAGGGCATTTTAGATAAGCTGATGCCTCCATGTGAATATGGTTTAACCAGACTATGAGAACATAGACTTTAAATAAAGATGGATGGAGCCTCTCCACTTCCTCCCACTGCACAAATATGAAGCCAAATTATTCTGGATACCAAGGCTGCCATCTTGTGCTTCTGACGTGATCGTGCTCCCACCGATACACGTCAGGGCATAATTAAAACCCTAGACTTCCTGGAAAATTGCGAGATAGTGTGATAAGAAGTACCTAAATGCAAGAATTGTGTTTTTATAATTTGGCCCATGTCCCATTTAGAGGTGGCAGGGTTTGTGACCTTTGCTGCAGCCAGCCACCAGGGGGTGATCAAGAGGATTTGGCTTCACTTTGGGGAGCTGTCGTGTCGTCCATCTTTATTTTCAGTCTACAGTTGAAACTGTAATTCTTCCTGGTAGTCGGACCACACACTGACAGATACTGCCACCTTCTTGTGAGAATGAGAATTATTTCTAATATTATTTTATTTTCTATCCACTTAACTTATAATTAAATGTGCAAGACAGAATCACACTAACTTGAGCTCAACCTATATTTACTGATACATCATTAGAGTGCATACATCTGAGCTCCTTCTTTAAACAAGGGTGTGTTCAAACCCTTTTGTGTAAATAATATTTGCTCAGCAAACACTGGGAAGTTAGAGATAAACAAACAGGGGAATGTCATTTGCACACACTCTGAATCATCGCTGCAGCGCCACATTAGGTTTTATTGCATGGGAGATATTTAAACAGGGAGGCTGCTGAGGTTTTGAAATTCTTCTGGAATTCATGTTTTAGTTTCTAAGTGCTGTTGCAGAGTTGTTTCTTTACCTTCTGTGTCATCTCTTGAAAGGTTTTGACGACCTCTTGTCTCTGGTCGTTGCTCCGATTGGTCAGGATTCTCACCAGGGTCCCCGCATCTAAACCGGGTACACAGCATTTGTATCTCAGCTATGTCACAATGGGCGGGGAGAGTAAACAGCTGTAAGAAAAGCAGAATTGTGTACACACTCATGGAGCGTCGCTACACAAGCTCTCAAGGGCAGTACCTTTTTTCTCCAGCGCTGCCTGGATCTCCAGAACGTCTCTGTCGGGGTTAAAATTGGAGAAGGGTCGCACTGTTCCGAGGGTGCCCCAGCACATGTCCTGTGTGAGAGACAAAACACAATGAATAATGCAAAGTGAGTGACAGGGAACAAGGGGAATTTGTAACAAGACAATGATAATGGATGTACACACATACCATGAGGGCGTCAACAAAAGACACAAGTCAGTTTTCATCACATGTGAATTTCAAGAATGTTAAATATTCTATACTCCTGCCGTGACTAACGAGGTAACAGTCAGTAAATGAATGGGTTGGAGAAGCAGTTTGAGAGGAAGCCTGGTGGTTTTACATGATAGGACTAATGTGAGATCACTGATTCTTTATTGAGTTTATTTTATTCTCTACATTAAAAGCAGAAAGGCAACAGGATATCCTAGCATGCCTCAGGTACACAGTGACTTCACAGTGTTGATAAAATTAGAAAGTATGCAAATGATCAGATTACAGAGTTATAATATCTAAAGTTTCTTAGTAAACACAGTAATAGTGCAACGACAGAGGGAAGAAGAAAAAGTCCACTCACGTAAGATTTGAAATAATCAGGGTCCATGGTTTTGTTTTACCTGCAAGAAAGAAAGTGCGCCAATAATTCAGTGTGTCTATATTAATACAGAAACTACATTTAAGTAAATGACACACTATTAAATCCAATTTGTGAATGTAACTATATATTTTTTTTAAAGTAAAGCTGCATTTCGTTCAGTGAAGGATATTGTGTATTAATCAAAACCAGCAGTTATCTGAAGAAAACAGTTATAATAAATTACAGGTTTATGTGTTAGAGACAGAATAACATGTATTTTAAAAGAATGCTTATTTTTCCTACCTGTATCGGAGAGCTGTGGAAAGGTGTGGAGTTTGTGTTTACAGCCTCCTCTAATCAGCACTGTGTCTCAGTCCTGCCCGAACTGTGCCGCACCTTTCTCCCACCTCACCCATGTAACCTGTCCCTCACGCCGCCTCTGACCAATCAGCAACCGCTATCCTCGCTCCTTCCACTGACACCATAGTTCTGCACCATTTCTATGACAACCCGCATGTAAAATACTAACATTCCTTATAAATGAGGAATCCAGACCGTCAAGTTTGTTGTGAAATGACGATGGGCTGTAGGTTTTGTGGCCCCCTCCACCCCCAAAAAAAAAAGATCTGTGAGGAATGAGGCCTTTGCACTTTAACCCCTGTCACTGAAGAATGTGTTGTTTTGATGTTCTTTGTCATTTTAAACAGAAGTCTGATAAACAAACCCACCAGACGATTTGCCGGTCAGGTCTGTTAACAAAGCAGAGTGAGGGCAGAACGCTGCTTTTAGGGTAAAAACCGGTTTTTCTTGAGCTCACGTCGGTTTCAACAGCTGAAAATTACAATTGCAGTACAGGGGTAAACAAAAGGCCTTTTCAGACGCTGCATCTGTGATAACAATCTGATACTCCGACACTCATCTGCCCTTTTCTCTCAGTCCAAAGACAAAGAGCAGAGAAAAGGAAAGAACAACACAATCCATTTATAAAGTCATTTCAAACAGAAAACACAGTGTTACCTGGAGGTGAGGAAATGTATTCCTGACATGGGTTTTAATCCACGATCCACTCCTCCGTGCTGCTCAGCTGCTACCTGCCGTGTTCACCTGCAGAGCTCGAAGAAATATGAGACGTGTGTGTAGTTATTGCAAACAATGATCTGCAGCAACATGCCTCCAGCTTTCACTGGTGTTTGCTCAAGATTCACCCTCAGAACAGGTTTTAATGATTAAAAAAAGAACAGTATATTTATGCCCTCAGCTGAAATTGGAAACATGACAAATACAGAAACAGTCAAAGTTACAGATAAAGGTACAGTGTGAAGGATTTTGTGATATCTAGTGTTGAAGTTGTATGTTGCAGCTGAACACCCCCTCAACTCACCCTTCCCTTCTAAATATGAAAAAGAAACTATGATGAACTTCAGTTGTCATAAAAACCCAAAAGGTGTTTAGTTGGTCCAGTCTGGACTAATGTAAAAGAACATGGCGGCCTCCGTAGAGTGGACCCCCTCGATGTAAATATCAAGTATTTAAATATAAAGGGCCTTTAAACTACAATTCATACAATTTAGATGAAACAAACTAATGAAAATATCATGAGGATTATTCTACATTAAATTTCTGCCAAGATGAAATGATTAAGGCGTAAACCTGCAATGATAAGAGAGAGAAAGATTAAAGATCATTCAGCTGAGATAATCATTGGATTAAAGCGCTAACGACAAAATAAAGTGACACTTAAAAAGTGTAATTTGAAGAATAAAGATCAGCTCCTGTTCACTGAGATATGAGAAATAAAAACCAGAGAGAGCCTGAAAACATATTAAAAAAACTAAAAATGATAAAAGTCTGTTAATTATTTATTTATTTAGCATTTTAAACTTTTGGCAGTTCATTATTTAACAGTCATAGACTGTGAACAAAGATGGACGACATGACTTCTCCCCAAAAGTGAAGCCACAGTGTCTCTTCCTCCCCCTGGTGGCTGAGCACAGAACAGTTCATAAACCAAAGATGGTGTCTGCTTCGTTAGTTAGTAAGACAGTGAAGTTTTAATTAGTTATGTGAGGCTTAAAACATGGGGTCAAATATTATAATTGCCGGATGATAATGACTGTGCGATCCGTCGTGAATGTGCATCTGTGGGACTAAAGATCACCGGGTTAATACTTAATGACGAAAAAAAGATTTAATTTTTCTGATTATTTTGATCATGCTGATGTATCGATTTTTTATTTTTTTAGATGCGGACCGTAAAGAAATCCAGATACGTTTTGGATAAAAGTGTGATTATAGAGGTTGGACGTCGTGGATTCATTTAGTGGAAACTCAGAAATGCTTGTGACATTATTTACGATTCTTTCAAGCCAACAGCTTTGTTTTTAATTTGTTTATTTTTGTTTTCAATATTTTAAACCAATCCCCAACATCACATTTCACATTATATCTTTAGTATCAAATATTAACAGCTGATAACAAAAAGAGAATAAAAACAAGAAAACAGAGAAACTGGACAGAAAATAAACACATAAAACCCATTTAGTCGCACTGACAATGTGATATTCTGTCTGTATACATACGTAACTGCAACACTTCCCACAAAACAATCAGAGATACATGTACAGTATATAAAAATAACCTTTAAAAGCGGATCATGCATTTCTTGCATGTTACACATCCTTTTGGCGTCTGTAGAAAGTATCAGAAGTAAGATAACGTTATTAAAACCTGCTTCTTCTACATTGTAAACACAGTTATGAAGGACATTAGAGTGAGTCTGGGGACATATGAACAGGGACATTCTACAGGTTTGAATATACAAATTAAAGGTCAAAGTCGTGGAGGTCAAACTGTGCTCTTGATCTCTGGATACAAGAGAGTTGGTGAGTCCGTGCTCAGTTTGTGCAGCAGCAGCTCAGTACATCCTGAAAAATACATTCAATTTTTGCTTTTTGACTCCGGATGACACGAATCGCCGCAGCAGGTCGATAAGACACTGACACGTCTTTTTGTTTGTTGATCTGACTCGGAGAAAGTGGATTCATCAGAACTCCGGCCTCGTATTGTTTGTGTTTACACTTGTTACATGGATCATGGGAGTTCAGACAAAAATACAGGCACCTAAATAAATGGACAGTGACAGCAGCCGGTTCCCACTGCGCAAAATGTTAAGGGAATATTTTGCAGCTAAAAGGAAAGGCACTGTTGATGCACTGCTTAACGGAGCAAAGAGGAAAATGGTTTATTATAGCAGCTCTATCTCCCACTGCTGGCTCGGCCTCTCGTCATTCTCTGGCATGATCACCACATGGTCCTTGTCGTACGTTTTTCCACCTAAAGAAAAGAAAGTGAAGATGAATGCTATCGAACATCAGCTCTTACTTTGAAATTCAATTACACCTCTGAATTTGGATTCATATTAAAGCAACATTATAAAAATGTGTTTGATGTTTCACTGCCTTGGAATAAGGAGATAAAAAAGAAATAATCTCAGTCAGGAAACTTAAAATATTAAGAAACCCCTATGTGGTTGCAGGGGGCGCTACTGCTAATTAAAACGTACACAATCATTATTTACAATTTAACAATTATACACAATATTTAAATCCAATCTCCTGAAGCCCATTTTTGTCCTCTTCTTCTCTCATACCTTTAACATCCATGACCATGCCGGGGAAAGTGAGGTTGGTGATGAGGCCTCTCATCTGGGTCACCCAGGTCTGGATCGGCTGCCGGGTCTCTGACCACAAAACCACCTTGGCTGCCGGCTCTATATTGCCCATCACCTGGAGACTCATGGTCTTGGACAGCTAAAAGAAAAGGTCACACACAGTAAACCGTCAGAGCGGCTCTTGAAAAATGGATTCCACATCGTCATAGCCTTTAAATCGTGCTCCACCTTATTCTTTATGAATCCGTCCTGATAGAACCAGATGTCAGTCATCGGCTCCACCTCTGCCGTCACCACCACACGTCCTGACTTCATCTCCTCCACGCCACCCTGGACGGACATGGGGTGGCCGCTCTCTGCGTTCTTGATGCGGAAAAACTGACGCTTCTGCAGGAAACAAAAATAGATTGTCCGTGAAGACCTTTGACCGATTTGTCCCCTGAACCAGAGACTGTTTATGAGGAGGCTAACTTCAATGATAAATCAGGAAAGCACAGCAGACAACTAGCAGCTCAGCGACAAGCTAACTGTGACGTCATCAGCCATTCAATTATTAGGGTTTAAAAACTTAACTGAGTTATAAAAAGTTCACACCAGCACAATGTCCATGAAGGGAGAAATTCACCAATGAGTCCTGAATACGTTTTTAAAACTAGGCTTTAAAACTCGAGGGGTCTTTGGGGATTTACTCGCTTTTTGAGCCAGTCTCAAGTGGCCACTTAGTGAACTGCAGTTGTTGGCATTTCCTGCATTTCCTGATTGGCTTCATTTCTCAGCCCAAGAAATTGCCACTTGTCCTAAAACAGCCAAATCCCACTTCCTCAAAAGAAACAAACAACATATTGGTTATTGGAAGCCAGGTTTTGATTGAAATGTGGCTTTTGTAATTAAAAATATTAGGAGTTTCAAATCCATGTCAATTTTGCTGTCGGACATATTAATAGAAAAGTGGTTCAGGTGAATGCCCTTTATTCATTTATTATTTTCATAAAAAAATAATTTATCTATATCAATAAATAATCTTGGTAATGATAATGACTCATCTGCAGCACCACACAACACATTTTCACATCGTAGTGACACAACCAGGAGTCCTGGTGTACTTTTGGACTCAGTGAGGTTGTAAAGAGGTTGTAAAGATGACTTGTTAACAAACCTGTCTGACTGGATACACTGAGCCAATCGTACACAGCGAGCTAAACTTTGGCCAGTTGGTGATTTCGATGGGCTCCAGGAGGAACTGGCGCCCCCTGTAGTGGCTGTGTTCATATAACACCCAACTGCAAAAGGAAGAGACACAAAATTAGAGTTTTGCAACTAAAGACAAACCTTTTCTGATCGTTTCATTGAGTAATTAAATGTTTTATTTGACTTTCAAGGTGTTTAAACAGTTTTATCAGCTCATGTCGGGTCCAAGTGGTTTGTTTCCTCCACCTCACTGTCATAAAAACCTGAAAAGGACAAACAGAGAGATGCTCTGTGACACGCCTCCATGCAAAGTCACTTACCTGCCACTGTTGACCCTGACCGACAGGATGTGGTTGTTGAAGCCCTCGCCAGCCATGCTGATGATCTCCGTCTCCGTGGTGATCTCTCTGCCCTCCAGACACTCGAGGCCAAACAGAGAGAGGGAGGGAACCGAGAACGTCTAGACGGTTGGGGAGAGACGGAGGGTCAGACAAAGACGAGGGCGAGAACACAGAGCGTTTTCCACAGTATGTGCATTGAGGGAGCTTCTCACCGTCGGCACGACCTTGACAGAGCGGATGCTGCAGCTGGGGGGACAGCCCATGCTGATTAAATTGGGGTAATCTCCTTCATGTAAGACGTACAAGTTCCCAGAGTGCTTTTCGTTCTCATAGAGCACCCAGCTGGAACACAGACATTTGGAGTCATCAGCCAAAACGTATTAACTCTTCAACCCTTACTTTTTGTACTTTTACTTCTTTACTCTCCGTCTCAGCTCAGGGTTCCTTACCTTCCACCGGCCACTCGGCACGACTTGGTCAGGAATTTTTCTGACAGCGCTTCCTGGTTGCGGTCAAAGACGTCACACTTGCCCTGGAAATCTGGCTCAGAGTATAGAACGAGCTGATAAACAGAGGTAAGGAGAAGTGAGAGATTGGACCAACACATTTTTCAGCCTGAAAAATCTTTGATTTATCCAAATATTCACAATGTTATCTTCTATTCTTATCTGTATCTGTGCTTATGATTGATTTATTGATTAGGTCACGTTTTGGCAACTATTTTTTTTTATTACGGGTTGTGCAATCAAATATTTCACATGCAAGATTTGAATAAAAGATAGATAGTTAGAATAAATAACAGGATCAATGTGGATGTTTGGATAAGGGGCCTCTCAGGTAGAAACAATGATTTCTAATCTTGTTCTCTGAAGTGAATAATTTTTATCGCCTGTTCTGTGTTGATAAAGAAAGGGGTTTTCCCTGCATGGAAGATTTAACTCAGGCCAAAAGTTAAATACAAGTCAAATATTTGCACTTGGACAAACACAGCGCACTGTTCTTCCAGTATCATAGTTTATTAGTTATGAAATTGTCTGCAGCCTATGAGATGAAGTGTGTGTGTACAGGCCCTGCATATTTTTCAGTTAAATCCCTGCACACCAAATCAAAAATGAGATGAAGGTGTGGACACCAGCTATATATCAGATTAAAACCTGCAACTGAATGTAAAGACAATATATTCACCTGGTTCCGGGTCCTTGAGTTGTCACTCGGAGCCTAAAACACAAACAAACATGAGAGAAACATCTGACCCACGTGACACACAGGAAATGTTGCTGAGGGTTTCAGGTCCTCACCAGGAGGATGGGCTGCACTGAGCAGATGCGAGTGTCCTCAGAGCCCCAGTCAGCGCTGTTGTTGTAGAAACCTTTCTCTAAGATGTACTGGTCACCGGAGTAGTCCACGTGGGAGTAGGCGACCCATCTGGACAGAACATGAGCAACTGTTGTTTTAAAGCAACACTTGAATTAGTGACGTGGTAAATATACAGAATCTATCGACTTACGCCCCGCTGAGTACGTGGATGGAGCGCGTGGACGTTTTGTAGCCGAACAGCTCGACGTCAGGAATGGCCTCCGTCACCTCGAAGGTGCTCTCCTCCTGCATGTTCTCCTGTTCCTCCTCTGGCTGCTCAAACATCACCATCATGGGTTCAGTCAGGTCCTGCAGAAGAGAGAGAACAGGTTTACACTGAAGCCTGATGGGAAATTATGGAAACTACTAGTTTTCATCTTTTCAACGTGACTGGAAGGAAACTCACTGCTTGTATCACCCTCACGGAGCGCAGCTCGGCATCGCGGCCTCCCCACACCCTCCAGTCCTGGTACTCCCCCTCCTCCAGCAGGTACTGGTGGCCTCGGAAACCGTCCTTCTCATAGCCCACCCAGCTGCAGGAACGGAAAGAGTCAGGGGGTTAAAAAGCACTCAGGTCTAATCAACTCCAAATTGTTTTTTCGGTTTCTGCCTCATGGAGCAGACTTTCTACCTGAATCGTGCAGCAGTTCTACTCATTAGTGATCATAAGGTGTAGTTTCAGTAGAAAGCAGCACTTACATTCCTCCCTGCACTTTGAGGGAGCCCACACTGTACATGAAGGCTGTCTGCTGCCTGTCTACTCTGGTCATGAAGTCTCTCATGTTGCTGTTTATCGTCCTCGACTTCCCACAGAAGTACGGCTTTTCGAAGATCATCAACTGGAGACCGAGGGTCGCAATTACAACCAGGATGCACTGACGACCTTTTTTAATTCAATGTGGAGGTATGTAAAGCAGTAATTCTTCTTACCTTTGGTTCGCTCAGATTTTCCACTCTTGGTTCTCCCTAAGGTAAACAATGAAAATACATTCACCCACTGGCAACATGTAAGAACCTACACAGAGATGCTTGTCAGTACCTCTTAGAGTGTGCACTTACTACTTTGAGCGGGTGCAAGGATCCCACGTAAGGATGTTCTACGCCCCAGGCTGCCGGGTTGGAGTAACCCCCCACCTCCAGGACACGTGGTACGCCCTGGAAGAAGGGCTGCGCGTACACAAGCCATCTAACGATGGGGAAAAGATAACGTGAGTTTAGGAATAATGTGAAATAGTGAGAAAATCGTTAATGGCAAAAAATTTCAGCTTTTTCAATAGCATGTCTGTTCATGACTCACAGTCCAGCATTAATGATGATAGAGTTGGCCTTAATGGGGAAGCCAAAAATCCTGGCATCATCAGAGGTGTCTCTGAAGATGACTTTCTTCCCCTCTGCGTTTTCCTCCGGGAAAAGACTGATTTCTGGGACGCTGTAATCCTAAAAGAGAGAGAGAGAGAGAGTGTCCATTAGAGTCATGCAATGTTGGAGAACACAGGTAAGTAATAACACAGACCCTGTAGTTGAAAATAAATGATGGAATCTGCTATGATTCCCTCTTAATACACAGAATAGTTTTTTACAGGAGCTAAATCTAAGTAATTAATGTACCTAACACTGTAAAAAGCATTATAGCAGATGAGGCCGATACTGATATTTGAGAGTAAATCACAATAAATTGACCGATATTATTATTTTTAAATATACAGATATAACATTAATATTTTTGGGAGAAATCGCTTTGCTTTTTGAAGAATTGTGACTAAGATATGTATGAAATAGTATTTGTCAGTAAACAAAACTACCTCAAATATTTCTATAACTTTATTTGTTTTCACAGTGATGAAATATAGGTGCAATAGTTTGATGTTGTAAAACAGCATTTAATCTAGTAAAAAGTATTTAACTTTTTCTAAACATTCATTGACCAGGTTTACAGGTTTTCATATTTATCTTTGACACTAGATGGTGCTATTGACTGCAGGAGGAGGCACTTTGCAAAAGCATCAATGAGACATATAGTATTTATTCTTTAGTACCAAACAACAATGAGATGATACTTGAACCTAAAACTAAATCTTTACTCTGGGGGTGTTTGACAACGTTTCAAGACAAAGAGCTCGTCTCACCCTGACGGCTCGTCGCAGAGATCCGATGATGAACCTCCTTGCCGGCGTGCTCTCCGTCGGCTCATCACTCGTTTCTCCGTTCTGCTCCTTGCCCCCCTCCTCCTCCTTCTGTCCGTTCTGCAGCTGCTCCTCGGGGGGGCTGAAGGGGCTGGAGAGCTCGATGTCGCCCTCGTCCAGGGCAAGTTTGTCCCCTTTGAAGTTGGGTTTCTCGTACATCACCCATCTATCGAAGAGAGGAGAGAAGACAATGAAAACATCTTTTCATTATTCGGTTTTGTTCTGATAACCACTGCTGCATCTTTATTCTGAAATCTGCATTCACACATGGGGAACAAATAGAGGAGGGATTATGATAAATGACATACAAATGTTTATTTCTTAAATCACCAAGTTGGGAAATTTGACTTTGTTGAGTGTCAAACAATTAATTGATATGTCCTAATATGATACTTGAATTGCTTTTAATTGTTCTCTTGTTCTCGGGAAGCCGGGGATCATGGGTAACATCCTGTTCAGTTGTGTTTCACTTCAGTGGGACGATGCACTTTTCTCTATTTGAAAACCACTTGAGCTCAACAGAGTTCTTCACCACACAAGGCTGCAGAGGGCGCTGTTGCTCAGTAAAAGTCACAAAGTGTTGCTTTAGGACATGGTTGTGGAACATTTACTCAATTTGTATGATTGGTCACGGTGGAGTTAAACTTCAAATAAAACCAAGTATAAGAGATTTAAAGGGGAAGTCGGGGCCTCAACTAAACATGAAATTTATTTTTTATAATGGATTCTCATTTGTCGAATGTTTTCAAAGCTGAAAACTGAATCACTTTAATATAGAATCCTTTACTTACTGTCACAAATACTCATGGTCTGGACTTTTACTACCTTTATCTATAGTTACAATACTCCACTGGTACAGGTAGATAAACTCTCAATTAAAAATAACTACAGTTGGATTGAATCAAGGGTTAATGGGACACACAGATGTTTTTGTGGCTCCGAGCGGTGCCATCGGTGTTAGTGCTGCTTCACACACTTGGCTGCGTTGGATTGAACATTCCACATCAGAGCCCGGTGTGTGTTCAAGCTTGTGTGTCTGCGGGTGTGTCAGCTATTGATGGCATTTGCATGTCCACACCACATCGGTGGCATTTCTGCTCTGACATCTGCAGAGAGGAGTTTACTGTGAGGAGGCGGTGTTTAATTACACACCTGACATTTAAATACCAAAAGACAAGGTGCGGAGGTGTCTCTTAACTTCTGAGATTTAGAAAGAATTTCAAAAGGCCTCGGGTTTAAAGTTGAGGGAAGGTCCAAAAACATTAGGCAATGTCTGGTGTGTGTTCACCTGGTTGTGGTTTTATTTCCTGTGTACTTCTCTTTATCGTTGTATTAATGACAGGGAGCGTTAGTTTGAAAGAAAGCTTTGTTGTGTGTCCACAGCATAAAACTGTGATTCAGTGATCAGTTGTTGTTGTGGATCCAATTTTGTATTTGAATTCTTAGCAGTAACGTTCTGTCATAGAAAGTGCACAAAGGAGACAACTGAACAAATAATTGACCCTAAACTTTCTCCTGCTCACAGACGAAATGTTTGATCAGTAAAAACACAGCCGGAGACTCCAGGTTGTTTTAATAGGAAGACGACGTCCACTCACCCTCCTCTGACGACCCTGATGGAGATGATCTCCTGCAGATCCCAGGACGTAGCGTCGATGACATCACTGCGCACCTCGATCCTCTGGCCGCACATCCCCGGTCGGTCAAAAATATACATCTAGAGAAAAGAGAGAAACAAACAGATGCTAGAGAAGATAATAACCTGGAATGATTATCTTGCTTATTTCTACATGGCAGTTTTCCAACAAAGGTGTGAAGCCTGGCTGTTTGGCCGGAGGGTGTTTGTCTTCTGCAGCTCCAAGATCACCAGATCCAAGACTTTACGAAGACACGGCGATTAGAAAATCACTTTTAATAAATGAGATGATAAATTATTCATAAATGACTCGGACAGTGAGAATGATACGACGGTTAAATTAGAATAATGACACAGAATTACTGCAGGCAAGAGCTGTGAACTGTGCAGCTGAAAAACAGACCAAGTGTCATCCACTGACAAAATATCCAGTGACACGTGCAGAATTAAATCTTAAATTTCAGGCTCATCCCTTTAAGAGAAGAACTGTGCAAGTTAAGTTTAAAGTAGCAGAATTAGAGCTTGATTATCATTTAAATTTGAAACGTGATAAACCAAAATATGTTTTTTTATTCAAACCTTGCATTAATATTAAAAGCAGCCTGCAAATGAAATAAAGTATATTCTTTCTTTTTGTATTGTTGTACTTAAAACTGTAGTTTCAGGTTTACAGACATGTTTGGTTCATTCAGTTCTCAGGCCCTGCAGCGTGGAGGAGCACCGGTAGCTCAGCCTAAATGTCAGCTCCTCCTCTTACATTCACAATCTGTCACAGACAATCTCAGAGAAAATGAAAAACCTTCGTACACCCTTCAGCGTGCAAGCAGCAGCAGGCCTGACATTTAATGACATTTGCATTAATAATGTATGCGGCCGCTTCCTTGGAAGTAGCAGGTATGCAGTTTTTTGGCATCAGTCAAGTAGCTTGGAACTTTTGACGAATACTTGTGGTGGAGAACAAATGGTTTAACCAGACAGCTGCTGCTCACAGAGAGAAACGATTGTGAAACAGAGGTTATGTAAGAGGCCAAAACACAAGCACAGTAAAATGAGTCTCGTATAGATGATTTTTTCACCCTCAGGTAAAACAGTTGTGTTCTGTGAATGAACTGGGAACAGACAGAGTGTACAGAAACGTCTCTGTATTTCTCTTCCCAGCGATATTTGTGATTTTAGACCCGATTCCCCAGATAATCCTGAAGCATATCAAACGTTTGATGATTCCGATGATCGGCTCCGACAGAAGCCCGCAAAAGCAATCTCCACTGTGAAAAGTGTGTGTGCATCTTATGATTATAAGATTAAAAATCGTTTTAATCTTTCATCGTGTCTGTCGTCTCCCAGGTTGTTTATGTAGCCGAGAAATTCCAGAGAAACAGCTTCCTGATCCCCGACTGAAGGTGATCAGTGACAGCAACTGTCACCTTTGAATGTGAACATGCAACATGTCAGACAGCAGAGTTCCGTGTAGACTCACCTTTCCAGGACGAGGGTTGAGCTTCCCGTGCTCCTTCTCCTTTGTGAGCTACGACAAAGACAGAAATAAATATATATTTTAGCACAATTCAAAATTTGAGTACACATATTTTTCTCTACATTCTCTCTACGTTCAAACAAGCTGCACCAAACTCCACAGACTCATCGATATCAGGTCCCTAAATGTTTTTTCATCAGTATCGCCTTATGAATTTGAGCAGATCCTTTCTGTCCCAACAAACCTAACCAAAGGACAATAGACCAGAATGGCATTCGGCGGCTTGCATTCCTCCGCCAAGGCCGAACAATCCTACACACGACAATGCAATCATCGTTTACATCTATGTCTGATACAGACGTGAGGAGAGAGAACATCATTCATGACAGAACAAGCGTCTCTTTGACAGGTGTGAATACGTTCCCCCATTGTACCTGTAGAACCTAACGCTCACTAATACCAGCTCCATTAAAGCGTCCAGTGGAACCAGACACGAATGAATGAAGTCACTGTGCAGCTGATTGACCAGAGTCGTCATTTCCTGCTGCACAAACATTGGCCAGGACAACGATTCATTTTTGGTTTGTTTACTTGTGGTACTTGGAATGAAGTAGAGGGTTAGCACAGTGGAAATTTGCATATGGATCAGTGTGTGTGTGTGTGTGTGTGTGTGTCTGTGTGTGTGTGTGTGTGGTCTCAGGTATCACTTGGCCTCTCCTCTGTGGAAGCTGTGTAGGGGAAACAGGCTATCATCTGGATCATGTTACCGACCAAAGAGGCCTGCGACCCAAGCTATTGTGTCAGTGTTTTTGCTGTGCTCATGACCCGTCTGTTCTATTTTTCAGCCTTTTTAAAAAAGCACTTCGATTTTGAAAAGTACTCTATAAATAAAACGCTGGAAAACTTTAGGAAAATGTCCAGAGTAAAGTGCACGTGGGTCAACCTGGAAAAATACATCTATAAAACCAGTTTCTTGAATATTAAAGATTAAGGTTTAGAGTCATTAAAAGCCTTTCTTTGGTAACTAAGAACATAAAAGAGTGTCGACTGTATTTTTCACTGAAGTATTTATTTTATTTTAACCACCAATGCTTCCAACTCTGACAGACTTGTCTCAGTGTCCCAGTGCAGCCGAGGCTGGAGCCACTTATCCCCAACAAGGTTGTCATTGAAAATGCTGTCACACTGCAAAACCACAAAGAGCCAAAGTCAACATTTACATTCCTGTGGCATGACATGGTCCAGCGTTCAGAGTGGAGAATGCACGGTAGATGTTTTGGGGCAAAAAAGCCTGATCCGCACTGGTGACTGACACGTGAGAGGAGGGATGACTGACACGGTGTCGTAATCTGTCGGACTTTCACATTACCGGTTCTCAGAGGCTGTGAAATAATTACGACTGTAAGAAAATCACAGCCACAAAGAGCCTGTTAAGAAAAATCAAAGAGAAGAAAATAAAAAATTATCTATAACGGACGTTTTGCTTCCTGTTACTGGACCAAATGAATTATTAAACATGTAAGTGATTCATTTAACAGTGTAATCAGTGTAAAGGTTTTGGGATAAATGTGCTGAATTGCTGGTCACATATTCTGAACATTAGCGCAGATAAACATTTTCAAGTAATAACCTGAAATCTAAAATGTGAATCTGAAACTTCTTTGCCTCAACAACACCAAAGCAACGCCAGACATCTGCTTCATTTACGAGAGGAGCTTTAATGCCAGATTAAATTATAAACTCAGAGTTTTACGCTTGCCAATAAAATTAGATACTGCTGATGGAATGTGCCGGTTCAGCAGATCATCCATTTAAAATGCGCGCGAACATGTGATGCACGGAAAAAAAAGTTTGTCCTTTCCTGTCGTGCCTTCACCTCCTCAATTCTGCCTGTCAACTCTGCTTCATCAAATATCAGGCAAACAAGCGGAGAAATGTGAAAATAAAAACAAAAGGCGAGGTGCGGTTGCGTCTGTGCAGGAACAGGCAGATAGCTGGGATGGGTGTGGAGCCTGGTTCAAGAAGAAACAATGAAAAAAGGAAGCGATAGGAGCAAAAAGTTTGGTGAGAATTAAATGATCGCACAAAGTTACCTCCACCTGCTGAGAAAAGAGTCGCTGGTGGTTTCAATGAATAAGGAGTTCAACGTTTGTATTCATTTCTACAAACACATCAACCATTTACTTTCCCTGTCTTTAGTTTGATCAGTTGACTTAAGCGAAGCAGGATGAGGCTGTAAAATATATCCCTGTTCAAACACAGGACACTGACACACGGCTTTCATTGATAAGAGCCAGTTCACTGACATGACAGTTCTAATTTAAACTTGGTCGACAAAATCCATAGAATCTGTATATTTGATGCCACATTTGAATTCGGTCGAGTCGTAAAAATCTGCATTATTACACAATATTTGCATTAAAACTACCTTCAAGCTGAGGACTCCAATCGTGCACAGAGACAACACAGGCAGGGAGTGTGCAGGTTAGTTAGGGACAGACAGGTACGCTGAATGAAATGATTGTGTTAATTACAGTTTTGTTTCTTTTTAGATGACTTTATTTATTGACGGCTACCGTGAAGACGTGAAGAGGATTTGAACAATAAGATTTATGCACCTTTCTCGTTGAACTCCAAGTTCCCTCCCCAGCAGAGCACACAAATTGTACATGTATGTATGTAGGAGTCTACCTTTAAACAAATGCCTCTGTTGAAGTGATCATAGGCCGGAATGCAATTTTGCAATACAAGTGTGGTGACAACACTTCTCTCCATTCCTTTCTTCAGGCGCCCTGCTGTACATTCTTCACTGCAAAGACATTTTTAAAATCCGCCCTGTCTGAAAAATAAACATCTATTGCAGTAATATTCCCCCCCTGCAGATCTCTGGAGGCCCGAACACCTCGTCTGAAGTCAGTTCCAGTGGCTGTTAGCAACACGAGCTGAGGTCCTGCTGTGTCATTTAGCCTGAGAAAAACATTAGAGCTGCAGGAGCTATATCGCTGAACAACCCAGAGGAAAACCAAGTATTGTTTGAACTGGAAAGTGCAAACATTTGGATTCAAATTAGACCAGACAGCTGCACACTAATCAGACCGTCCTTTTTCTATTTGCACGGACAGAAATAACAGAATCTTCACGTGCTCAGCGTGGAGAAACACGATCCAGGAGGAGCAGAATGTGAGGAGCAGGATTTACTGCCTGTCCCAACATCCCATCATTCCCTCAGGGGGCCACTTCGTTTAGCTAACTCTTGGCAAACACTGCACTTACGAGGTATAATGGGTAAATATAATGGTTAATAGCGAAATGTGCTTAAAAACTGTATATGGTTTGAAGGTGTGAAGAAGGGAGAAGGTGGCCGGAACGATCCAGAATGACTTTTAGAGGACAAATCAGACATGGAAGCGAGAGAGGGTGCGAGCGTCATCATGTGTGCACGTGTGAGCGGATCTTCTCTTTCCTGCCAATGAAAATCATCATCAGACATGTCCTAATCAGTTAAACGCTTCACATGCACATGCACTCATGAACGTTCGCATTGGAGGAACGAGTCCTTGCATGCATCTGGAGACACCCATTTTGTTAGGGAAGAGCATTTCACTTGGATAATGTAGGACCACTGAAGGACCTTTTTGAGGCTGGTTACCTCGGTCAAGGGCGTTGTTTTTGTTTGTCAGCAGGATTACTCAAAAGCCACTGAACGAATTTCCACAAAACTTGCTGAGAGGATTCAACATTGGCCAAGAAAGCGGCAATTCAAGTTTGGAAAAATGGGGCGGATCAAGGATTTTTTTTTTTTTTAACAGTGTGAAATAGGGAATAATTCATGGATCTTGACGGAAATAAATCAGGCATCTTTGCAAAATTATAGTGTGTGCAATCTGGTGCAGCTTGATTGAATTAAAGCAGACTTTCAGGGAGTTATGAGTCATTATACCATCAGACTAACTGTGCTCTACAAAATATTTGAGTTGAAAAACTCCAGAAATAGACGTTAAACTACGTGAAGGTATACACGGACAAACAGGGCCACTTCCTGTGTGCATGACAAACCACATATCAATCATCTCTCGCAGCTGCAGTGAGCTGCCCTGTTTTACAACAGTGAGGACAATGGATCTGGGAGTTACACTCCCTATGTAACAAGTACACATGTTGCACAAAGGCTGATATCTATTTAAAGGAAGTTAAATTTCAAGATATAAAAAATGTAGTTGTGGTTTCTATTACAACCCACAATCAGCCTTCCACTGACTGTGCAAACCTGGTTCCTTCAAAAGCTCCAATGATTCATCCGTTTGTGAAGTGATGTCTGAACTGATTGTTTATTGCATCCTAACACATTATTCACGGAACTGAGGCCTGCTCTTATAAATATATTACTTCTACAAAGTATTTACACAGAATCCTTATGATCATTAACATCCTCATTCTTCTTAATATCAAGCTTTTGCAAAATATGTCATTTATTCCAAATAATTTCTTCCCTGATTTTGTATTTAAACGCCACCCCCGCAAAAATAAAAATACAATAAAACATACAAAAAACTAGTAATACTCACATAGGCATCAGGGAAGGCTCTGTATTTTGACACTTGATTCCTCTCAGGCTCAGGTTCTTTGCTCTGGAACAGAGACCCTCCATGCACGTTGTTGAACCGTGACGTCTGCTGGACCCCCATGGTGCCGTCGCTGCTGAGGCTCCTCTGCAGGAGGGGGGGGGCAGCTGTCCCAGCACCGACACCCATCCCCTGTGTCTGGCCAAACATGGATAGGGCAGAGTCTGTGGTGGTGAACGGCCTGTGAAGGTCTATGGAGCCCGTGGGGCTGAGGAGGCGGGTGGGACTGTTACTGGAGGGTGGGGAACCGAAGCTGGGCGGCGGAGGCCGACTCATGCGGCCGTTCAAGTCTTCTGCTCCGGTCAAGGAGCCTGACGAGGAGGATGAGTTCGCAAGGAAGGAGAAGCGCTCAAAGCGGGACCCTGCGAGGTCACCGAGGTCCTTCTGTCCCATACTCAGGCGATCGCTTAAAGGCCCAGTGTCTGGTAGCGAGCTGGTGCGGAAGAGTGGACGATGGGCTTTTTCGTTCTCCGTTGTCTGATCTATGGTCGATGACCTGTAGCTTCCATAGATGATACTGTTGTCGAGGCGAGAGCCTGTGTTGGACGGCGGAGATATTCCATTTCCATTAAGCATGGGGGATTTTAAGTCCTCTAGGGAAGAGTCAGAGGATCTTCTTAAAACAATACTGTTGGCAGCTGATGCTCTCAGGGGCAAGTTCAGGCCTCGTGTTCCTGGCTGCTGGTCCTGCAGGGGATCGAGCACAGGCGGTGAGACAAAACAAAAGGCAACGTTATCATGTCAATCTAAGAGATCTCTTCAAATAGATTGTTTTGGTTTCCTCTAAAAATTTCTGCCTCAACCAACATTTAATGAGAGTGAACGTAGGTTTGTTTGTGGAGAAGAAAAACTATTTCATCAACGTCTCTGTTCTAGAGCCAAGAAGTTTCCACAGAAACTCTGGGTGAGAAGATAATAATATAAGGGTAATAATAATTATAATAATAAAAGTGTAATTATAACATAAAAAGTTCGAGTTCCACAACTTATATGTATATTTTCCATGCATTCTATTCTGTTGCATTTTTAAATCCCTAGAAAGATCATATAATTGATCAAACATTTCCACTAACTTTTATTCGTTTTAATTTTATTCGTTAATTGAGATATCTAGGTATCAGTACACTGTACCTGCTGGGTCTTCAGCAGCTCCAGTGGTGATCGAGTGTCTCTGGGGTGCCTCTTCAGTCCCAGATCGGGAGGCAGAGTGAAAATCCCATCCAGCGAATCGGTGCCGTTGGATTCCATCTTTTTCACGGGGCTGGTGAGGGAGGCAGGGATGTCAGGGGTGATGGGGCTGGGAGCATCCTCGACAATGGGAGGCAGCGAGGACATCAGGGCCGGGGCAGGTGGGCGCAGGCCAGTGCACCTGGGCCTGAAGGAGGGTCCCATGTTCTTCAGGGTGTCCACCAGGTTGTCCATCTCCAGCTGGTTGGAGGAGTCTGTGTCAGGGGAGGCGGGGGGAGTGGGCAGAGGAGCCGTGGGTTCGCCGTCCAGCTGCACCAGTGTGGCTTTAAACAATCCGGTGAACTCAGAGGACTCGTCGTCGTCTTGTGTGAAACCGTCGATGTGGCTGGTGTGAAGGGCCGAGGAGAAGCCGGACACAGGGAGGTGTTGTGAGTCCCAGCGTGACTCTCTCTCTGCCTCTCCCTCTCTCTGTCTCTCTCCTTCACTCGCAGGTGCAGCAGGCTCCTCCCGCTCCACCACGCTCCTCCTCCACTCATCTTTGGCTTCCCCCGCTGACTCGCTCTCATGGCTCAGGTAGACCTGGGTCTCGTCTCTGAGCCTGTTGCTCAGAGTAAAGCGTTCCTCCGGAGCGGGGGAGGAGGCGGTGGAGGAGAGTGTGTCGCTTAGATGTTTGTACACTGTAGCCTCGGGGAAAGCGGAGGAGGAGGAGGAGGTGCTGGAATAAGTGTCAGAAGTTGTGTAAATCTGAGAGTCAGAAAAAATGAGATCCTGTACCTTGTATGGTCGATACTGAGAAACACCCTCAAATCTATTTTTCCACATGTACTCCGAGTCGACGTCTCCTCCATTTGACTCCATTGAGTCCACCCTGTCCTGTCCACGGCCGTCAGCCTCAGTAATCAGAGACACTTTATGGAAACGCTGTTGGGATTCGTCCTCTTCCAGGGGATACAAGTTCCTTGAGGTCAGTTTGGTGCTCAGGCTGCTGTAGCCTGAACTCATTTTGTCAAACGTGTCCTGGTCGGCGTTTGTCTTCGGACTCTCTGAAGCTGCTGCGTCTGTCTTCGAAGCCGTCGGGGACCTGGACAGACAAAGTGAAAGTCTGATTTAAGTGCCTTCGGGTGTGGCAGCCATGTAACGACAACAATGCAAATTTACACAAAGCTTTTTTGAATGTCTTGACTTGCAAAATTTAGTTTACAAAAGCTGATTAATTACAATTGTTGTTTAGAACATATTTTTACAGATAACGGCTGAAGGAATCGAGAGCTTTACCGTAGAAACAGGAAAAGAGAAGAGCAACGCAGAAAAACGCTTAAATCAAAGGAAAAGCTTCACCCTACAGATAAAGTCATAAAACCGACCGGAAGGACTTGAGAGGCGTTGACACATGTGAGTGTAAAGGTTGATTATTCCAAAGGTCATGAGAATATATAGGAACTCCCTCAGTGAACGTCAAAGGCAAACGTAGGTTTACACAGTGCGTTCTCAGATCCTAAAGAAACCTGAACAAAATAACAACAAAAGCCAATTAATGTGTTTAATGGGACATAGTTCATCTTCCTGGTGGTTTTTCTTTTCCTAAATAAAAAACAAAATAATTAAAATGCTTTTTTTTTTAGAAATGCAGATTCTTGCATATAAAAAGGGCAGGGTGTGTATTTCCCCATAGTTTGCACCAATTAAAAACATTTACAAGTGCATGAGTGCAAACAGTTTGTGTGTCTCTGACCAGATTCCTCTACACACACCTCACAGGGTTGACTCAATATGGGGCCCACTCTTTGTTTTGTGTGCTACTGGGAGAGAAACCTGTAGATTCAGGCGTCGATTCTGATTCTCGAACGAAGACAATGAATGCAAGAACTGTACGTGTTGCAGCTACAGGAACATTCTAAGAACATGTCCAGGCTCACATGTCAAACCAGATCCATGCACATGTGCTTGAACATGCAAATATCCTTAAGTCCTTAGGGAGTGATGATGGGTTTGGAGAGAAATTAAGTGTATGAGTGACCTAATTTTTTTTTACGCAGCTCATAGGACCATCGAGCAACTTAGGCCTGTGTGTAATTTCTGATTTAAAAAACACGCCTGCTCATTGTCCTCTGTAGGTAAAAGAACAGTGTCGGAGTTGGGCCCCCACACAGCACATCCAGAACAACCTTAAAAACAACGCTCAAAAGCATTCCTCTCATGGCTCACCTGTCAAAGTATCTGTCAAAGAATGAATGTGCATGCAAAGGGTTCCATGGAACTGATGCTTTGGATGTTATGCTGTTTTGTAATTACACGGAATCCTTGCTGAAAGTTCACAACACAACAGCCTGGAGGTTGTTCATTCAGGGCGGAACCTTTATGACTATTGATTTTGAATGTTTGCTCAGAGTTCTGAGGCTGTGAACTCACAAGGAGACACCATCAGAGTGGTGACCACATGGAGAGTCTGTAGAAACAATTCTGATTCATGCAGGAAACTATATGTGGGGGAAAGAGAGCAGGTTTGTCAGCCTCCCTTGTCTCTCCACATCTACAGGGGATTAGTGTACGTTTTCAAAGTGTGCAGCACAGCCACTGGTGAGTGAGTGTCAAACGCCAGCATGGCCTGAAGCTTTACTAAGCTCGAGAAAAAGAAAAGTGTCAAAAGAGTTTAAAAAGACTAAAATGATTGAACTTTCCAGGAATATACGCGAGCAAGAAAAACTGAAAGTGCATCATGTGTCTCCTCTAATGAGGCAATATGATTTTTCTCCTTTTGATTTAAGTGATTCTTAAAGATCCAAAGATTTACAGTCAGGATCATGATGTGGATTATTTCTTGTTGTTATGGAAGGTGGGGTGTTTTGAAGTGTTTCGAGATGCATTCAGGGACCTGGAGCAAAGTGATTTGTTTTCCTAAATTTAAGTTGAATATCCACAGTAAATGTTGAATTGATCCAGTGACAATAAAGGTTTTAAGTTCCCTTTAATTGTGATCAAATGTTGAGAGTCCGACAACAACAGCCTCAAACTGACTGATGAGAGAGAAGGAAGCACTGGAATACACACTGCTTGACTAAATTGTGACTAATTGGTGGAAAACAATATGCACATCCACCCTGAAACACTCTTGACCATAACTTTGGTCAGAGTTAAGAGGTGAGGACTTCCTGAACAGAGCTTAGGTCTGGTCAAGGTGTGGTTTATAAACTCCCTTCACATGCTCTGCAGACAGAAGTTGATTTAGGGCAGAGAGGTAATTCTCCACAAGTTTGTCATTCCTCTCTTGTCTCATAGCAAAGAGTCAAACAGCAGCACGTCAGTCACAATCGAAAAGAAAAACAAAAGACGAGTGGTTCAACCAGAAACAGCAAAAGGTCTTTAAGATCTGTGATAGTGTAAAGGAGGAAATTAAGATATTTAATTTTGCATTTCAGAAAAAAAAACAAGCAAGAGTTTCTACAGTGGAATAAAAAGGTTGATTCTAAAATGTATCAGTGGGCCCCTTGTGTTACTCCCCCTGACCTCCCCACAGACGAAGCCTACGAGACAGGTCGGACTGGCTAAATGTCATTTTTTCAATCCAGCCTAAGTCCTGTAAGTCTATTCTGATTCTATTTCTGGTGTCTAAACATCCATCATCTTCTGTCTTCTACTAAAGTAAAACACACGTCTTTGCTGCCACCCTGTGGTCCTAAAAGTACAACGAAATACAAAGCAGTGCCACATAAATTCTAAGGAAACCGATCGACAATGTTGTGTTGTTAACGCAAACAGTTAGAAAGGAGTTCATGTGCGTTGTAAGTCGGTCTCGATACATCAGTTAATGTAAAACACATTAAGTCAAAACGTAACCTTCTATTATGAACACAGCAGATTGACCCTATATTCAGAATCTGCTGCATTTACACCATGTACCTGTAAATGTGCACCAGTCACATCATGTACCTCAGGTTAACAGGAATAACGTCTTTCTGAGGGAATCTATCTCTCCTATTATCTTAAAGCAGAAAAATGAAGTCATGCATAATTGAAACACTCAAACTCCACAGGATATTTTGCAGAGAGCTCCTTTCCCTCAGAAGGTGTGGTCACGACTTCAAACCAGAATCCCCTGCAGCACTGTTTCCTTGGAATTAAAAGGCTTGATCAGAAACCAGCTTCAGATTAAACATCAAAATTGTCCTGCGATACCAAAACGTTTTAAAGAAACAGAGAGCCATGACAGCCAGCGCTCCAGGTGCCAGGACGTGATGTTCAGCCAGACTAGAGTCAGAACACCTTAAACCATTTAGGGCAACATTCTTCCTCGCTAATTTTTCTTTTGATCGACCGTTAATCAGTCAGCTGTACGGTTTGGGCGTGTGGCTCTGCTCCTGCTTCTGATCATCATAAATGATCATGCAATGTTTATTTTACTTTATATTCCTTGTAAGTGCGTTAAAACATTTCACAAGTTCCTGCACTATTTGTCTTTGGTGGCTGTCCCCATGTGAAATGTCAGAGAAGCAAAGCACATTTATTTTTGCTAGTTCACAGAAGGCAATCGTGCATCATTCATTAGAATATATATTTTATATAATATATTATATATAACTGAATCATTGTTTATGTACGTGATCAATCGAAAACACCAAATATTTGCCCCAAGCTTCTCAAAATTGACTATTTGCTGCTTTTCTTAAATTTGCAACCTGAAGACATCACTTTGAGTTCAGGGAACTTTTATTTTGTTAAGATTCTAGTGATTAAACTCTGTATATGCTGTGTATGTGGGAGTATTCAACCATAAACAATGTGTTGTACCACAAAAAAATGAAAGAGCGATGGCTCGGAGGTGAACAAACAAACATTCCTGCATGCCTTCTTCTTGCAGATAGAAGAATCTGAACTAATCAAGATGAGTGTGCGTGACAGCGAGAAATCAAAACAGATCATCTTGGGTTATGTCACTTGACGTGTGGTGGGGTCAAAGCAACACATGTTCCTAATGTGCGGACAGGTCTGTTGGTAAACAACTCAGGTCATCCACTGCTGACCTATTTACCAAAGTAGATGTTCAGCCATCACCAGGTTCAGGGACTTATCAGGTGGCCACACGGTAAGGTGAGAAAGTTATGTTAGCCACATCTATTGTTTCACTGGCCAGGTATAAACATGCAATTTGGTTCCAAGCAACAAAACTTGGATCCACAAACTCAACAATGTGCATCTGGCAGAGAGCCTTGAAGGGAAACCTGCTACTGACAGTGTAAAAATTCAGAGGCTGCAATTTCCTAAATGACATAATTGCCGACTTTGTGGAAATTACACACTTTCCCCAGCTGCTCTCTGCACACAGACCTCATGGTCAAACCACTTACATGCAGACTGAGGTGTATCAGCCCAACATCTAAATCCAGAACACCTGCAGGACGACAATCAAACATAGAAACACTTGATTTTTTTTCCCCCCAATAAAGAAAAACTTGCCACTCACCCTGGATCCAGGTCAGGCTCTCCTTCTGATGGAGGCTCGTGTCCCTCAGAGAACGCCCCTTCAGGTTCACTGTCAGGCCGGTGTGTGTCTTCAGTCAGGGTTGACAGCTCGACTCCCACCTGTTCTTGCACTGTCCTCTTTTTGTCCGCGCTCCCTGTAATCGTATCCTCCCACTCACTACTCTGCTGATCCCTATTGTGCTCTATCTCTGTGGCGTTCGATCGCAGCTCGGTGCTTTGCGTCGAAATGCCAGTGAGAACCTCTGCTCCAGCTGAGGGATCTGCGATGACACTGCTGTTGATTTCTATGCTAGCCTCTCCTCTCTCGTCCTCACACGGTGAAACTTGTTCCTGTCTGCACGTGGACGTGATCACATCTTCCTCCCCCGTGTTGCTGGGAGCAGCAGGTTCACACCCACGACTCCTGACGTCTTCGTACACCTGATATCGTGGCTCCTGGCTCAGGAGCTGCTTCTCTTCGTTGAGGTGGTCTTCTGTTTCCAAGTCCCTGGTCCAGTTTCGATCAGACCACTCCCCCTGCACATGCGGTGGCTCACTTGAGGGTGGAGCCAGCTCGCATTCCATCACCTGCCGAACCGGTGTGGCCAGTAACTCCTCCTCACCCTCCTCCTCCTCACCCTCCTCCTCCTCCTCAATCTGTGGCAATGCTGCGGTTGATACTTCTGTCTCCTGCCTCTTTGCATCACTGCTTACAAATAAGTCAGACGTCTCACTTTCTCGCACTTGAGTCTCCTCCATGTGACCTCTCGGTTGTTGCTGCTCTTCAGTTGGTCTGATGAGATCCACTTTGTTTCCATCGTCGTCCTCGTTGCCTTCCTCGCTCTGCATTTTAACTATCACCACCCTGAATTCTCCCTCATCTCTCTTGCTTCTCCCTCTCTCTATGACTTCTTCCCATTCCCTCTCTTTTAAACCGTCTACCTCCGGTTTTTCGTCCACCGTGTACATCTCTTCTTCCCCGCTCTCCTCCTCGTTGTTCTCCTCGGCGCTGTAGTACACCTCCATGACACTGCCATCATCGGATCCCACACTCAGATAGGCTGGGCTCAAAGGCCCTTCGCTCCCCTCCGTCGGTCCTGAACCAGAAGCAGCATAAGAAAACTCTGGTGTTTCGATTGTTATCTCTTGATAAATCTCTTGATTCAGACTTTTGATTGCGCTCATTCTGTCCAGGACAGGAGAGGCACAGCCGGAGTCAGCGCTCACTTCCTCTGTGACTAACTCTTTGACCAGGATCACTCTCTGTTTAGAGTCAGTAACCCGACTCTCGGCCCCATGGGATGATGCATATTCGGAAACCGGTGGGGGAGGGTTCTGAACCACGGGGACTGACCTGACTGTGTCATGGATGAGGCCGAAGCCGTCTGATCTCACGTGTGAAAGAGAACGGGTCAAATCCGAATAAGGAATGTCTTTAACGACCGGTTCCGAAGCCGAGCAGAGAGAGGAAGTACGATATATGTTTGCGTCCATTTGAAAGTCGTTAGGGTTGACATGTGTGTTGGTATATCTACTTTGTGCATCATCCAATCTGTGATCATGTGACGACGACAGGTGAGAGTAGATAACATTAGTTTCTGTGTGACATTCATTCAGGGTTTTAACCATGACAGGCTCCAATTTGGTGTTGACGTGTTTCCTCTCGGTGTGGATTTGAAGAGGAGGAGGAGGAGGAGGATACGAGTGGGATGACATTACCTCTGAGGTGAAACTCTGAGGGAAAAGTGACTCGTACAGCGCTTCGTAAACCACATCCTGACCGGGACGCTTCCCGCTGCCATCAGCCCAGGCTGCGGTGACACTTTTGGCAGCCTCGGGAAACGAAGATCTCTCAGTGTGAGAAACCGAGACTTCTTCAGGGATGGTGGCAGAATCTGTGCTCGGAGCAGAGTCGTCGGTGCGAGGAACGAGGGTCGACTCTGTAAATGTAGCATCGGTTTTGGAGTGGGCGCTCTGAGTCGTACTGTCAGAGGCTTCAGGTTGATGATGTGATAATGGAACTCGGGTGTATTCTGGAGGAGAGACTTCTGTTTTTGTGTGAGACTGCTGGAGGACATCATTATCACAAGGGCCGTTGGTTTCGCTGACTGACTCTGTAACTGCTGCATTTTGATCTGAGGTGTGCGGCGTGTCCGGAGGCCGACTGGCTGAGAGGCCCGGTGCATTCTGGGTATCAGCAACAGAGATCCCGTCCGTCAAAGGAGCAGGTGATTTGGCGTCAGTTCTGGGCGAGATGTCGAGAGCGGAAATATTCTTGTCATCTAGCTGGAGCTCAGGAATGGAAGCTATTGGTGCTTTCGGTAAATCCTCATTCACATCGAAAGGATCAGAGACGTTCGGAGGCTCCTGAGATTCTTTCTGGGTGTTCACAGTGACGACTGACTCTGATTGGTCAGGGATAGTGAAGTATGACTCCGACTGGTTTGTGGCCACAGGGGGAGGAGAAGGGATGTCGAACTTTTTGCAGGTGTCGAGCTCCGGCTGAGAGAACATGAACATTGTCTTCACGTTGGCCTGATCCAGTTCCATCTGACTGAGGTCCATGGTGGTCTGCAGGGAGATCATTTACAGTTTCACAAATAAAATGATACACGTACATATGAATAATAATAACAATTATTATTATCATTATGAGTTATTATTATTAGTTATCACCGATTATCATTTTGCCGTAAACACTGTCATTCATTTTACCTCCTCTTGCTCATCGATGGCTGGACTATGAAGACCAAACGTGCTCTTAGAGAGATTCTCTTCATCCTTCTTCTTCCTCTTTTTCAGACCAAAGGAAAAGGTGGCAAATCTCCTGGGCTTACGGAGGTCCAACTCCGAGTAGCTGAGTTCTTTGCTCTAAGAGGAAAAGAGAAAGATGGGGGAGAGATGGACGAGACGAGAATTAATGAAAGACTAAATGCAAAATACAGAATGTATTCCTGATATATCTTGTAACTAAAAGCATCAAAGAACATGGAGCAGCTTCACAAAATCCCCTGTAGCCGGAAATATCACTAATCCTACTGAACACCATTTTTTTTAAAAGGCTGTGTCGCTCATATATTCGAAACTCTGAACCACTTCTCCTGCCAGCGGTAGGAATGAGGATGTTGCACAATACAAGATTATGAGTTCTTAAACTTGTAAACAATGAGCTGCCACCCTGACTTCATTCCAAGCGTTAAAAGCTGCTCCACCCTGACAAAAATGAAAAACTAGTAGAACACGATCTACTACACCAACTAGCCACTGTCTCAGATAAGGTCTGGGGAGAGTTCATGATGAAAAGCCCAACTGTGGAAAGACAGATAACAATTTCCACATAAAAAAAAGGATGCTTCATTTGGGTGCATGAGAATAACTGATGAAACATCTGTATCTCTGAACAGCATGAGGGTCAATCTCAGATAGTGGTGATGCTTTTCTGAGGAACATGCTTTGTGGAGCCGTGATGACAAAGGAGAAAGAAAAACAAAGCTGTCCATCACCGCTATCTGTCAAATACCCAACATGGGTGTGTCTTTACAAATTCTTCTGATGGCTAGTTTGGAAAGTATGAGAAGCAAAGACAACAATTAAAGTGGAATCTGGGTTAAAGTGTGCTGTCGTTGGCCTCGTCTCCATACACGTGCTCACAAAACTGATTAAACAGCAAAAGAACAGAGATGAGTGAATCCACTAAAAATGTCATGTCCTGAACTTGACTGAAACATTCAAGCTGAAACAACCTGAAACACAAAGCAAGGAATCAAATCTTCTGGTCACTGTACACCCGGGGATCACTTTCATTTTGAAAGCTGATACGTTCCAAGTAACCACCATCATGTGCGCAGACACACACAACCACTGCATTCAACAGTAAAATCTTCTACTTCACATAAAACCTGTTTAATCTGTTCTTTTTAATTTAAGAAACACAACATTTGCGTTGTTATTTTTACCCAGAAGTCTTAGCTTCAAGCAGCTACATCATCACCAGTCAGGGCTTCCCCACACTGATGCTCAGTGAAGCCCTAGCGCCCTCTTCTGGAGAGAATATTAAAGTCTGACTTTGACTTAACCTCTATATCTATATATTTACTGCAGGCGAACAATGGAAACATGACCAGAGTGATGCTGATCAGATTTAACTGCAGCATTAAAGAGAAAAAGTCAAAAATGAGTTGAACAGACAGCGCGTGTGTGTGTGTGTGTGTGTGTACAGGCATGACATGCTTTGTTTAATCTCTATGTAATGGCGCCCTCTAGTGTGGAGTCCCATGTGTGGTCTCATCTTCTCAGCTGTATGTATATTTAAAAGTTGAGTCTGTGGCCGACTGATGCACACAGATAAATGTGAGTCTTTGCAGAGCTCAGATTAGACTGCAAGTGCGTACTTCTGAATTGTGTGTCGCACTATTAGTACTTATATTACTGCTGGAATTATTATTACACTGCTGCTGGAATAAAGGTCACAGGCAATTATACAAATTATCTTCGGGATGACCAACCAATTTTTTTTTTTTTTGCATATTACACACACACACACACACACACACACACA